ACAAATAAAAATCTCTTATCTTAATTTTTTCATATTAAAAATTTGCAGACATGGAGATATATTTTATGTATTTTCATGAATAAGATAATTACTAAAATTGGTAATTCTCAGTGTGAAAATAAATGTATTTTATTGTCATAAACTTTGAACATGTATTCACAGAATGAAATGCACCCTAATTAAGCGGCACCCCTGTGTTAAATATTTTATGAATAGGCAAGTTTATATATATAATATAAGTTTTCTACAGAAGAGTACTTGGATATTTTCTCTTTTAACTAGTTAATTTTTCTAAAGCATATTTTTTAGGTCTAGTTGGTCTAGTGACAGTGAGACCTCTTTTCTTTTTCTCCTCTTTGGCTGAAGTCAGTTTATCATTGGGCGTTAGTTAGCGGGACTAAAGGTGGGCTTGCAGTGGCTCTCTGACACTATTTCCATTTCTATCACTGCACAAAATGTTTATTTGTAAATTTGCTGAGTAAGACTGTTCAAAGTTCAAATAATAGAAACAGCTCCGCTCTGGGTGGTGGGGCTGAACACTGTCTCAAGAGGCCTCAGCTGGCAGAATTGAAAGTGAAAGGATTCTGCTACAGGGTGGGACACAAGTGTAATCTCACATTAGAGTTAAACTTGTTTATTCATTTGCAGACATCTCTGAAGTCTGAAGATGAAGTGTTCTTGTGGCCATAATGTTGTGGAGAAAACAGCCAAGTTCTGCAGTGAATGTGGCAAGAAGCTGTCTGTCCAACCTGCAAACACACAAGGTAAGTACATTCATTTAGAAATTTGGTTTAATATAATATGTTTTCTTTTAGGATTTGTTTAATGAGGTCCACACAGTGTAAAAAAAAAGAAAAAGTTTGTTAATACAGCATCCAGAATGTAATTAGAAAAAAATGAATGTCACATTCTTCCTAAATTACTAACTGCTTGACGTAAAAGTCGTGAAACAAATGGTCGTTGGCAGGTTAAACAAACAGCGTCTTTACATACTGAGTATGTTTTACATTGAGAGCAAGGTCTATATTGTGACCTACTTTATAAAGAGCCCAGGGGGAAAATGCAAACTCGAGCCATGTGACATAATGTTCATGTTTGTAACTGTTAATTAAAACACACATAAAAAGAAATAGCCCAGATGGGTCCATAGTAATAACACATGAATGATGTTTTATCTTATGATTGTATTGATTATTGGAGATTGCTGTCCAAACTATATTCTTTGCAATGTTTGAATGCGTCTTTTTTCTCTCTTTTCTTTTTTCTTACTCCCGCCTCCAGAGTGCTAATGACACAGGCGCTTACCTTGATTACTGCTCAGCAGTCTGGTCTGGTGTAGCCAAAAAAGACTAAGCTCCAAATTGCTCAGAATAAAGCTGCAAAGCTGGCACTGCCCTGTCCGTTGGGTGTGAGGCAGAGCAGACAGAGTGCAGACAGAGTGCAGGCCAGTCTCTCATGGCTCAGAGTAGAGTAGAGGAGAGGTTGGCTTGCAATCTAATGAGTTTCTTTTGGAATATTTGTTACAGTGAACAATCAAATTGTCTGTACTCATAAATAACTTGTATGAGAAAAAGCACAGCCACAACAGCAGGCAGGCTACCACACGTGTTCTATGTATTGTTTCATATGTATGTTCTGTTGTGTGTGGACTCCAGGTGATTTGGATTCGCCTGGAATGCAAATTAACTTACAACGATACACTCCTGTTGCTAACTCCCAGACCAAGAGCACTGTGTAGTTTTTTACATATGTCTCTGGATGCAGTCTGATTTGTATTCCACATGTTTTTAATCCAGATACAAACGATCAGCCCAAATCCTTGGTAGCAGACACAGAGGCTGAGAAATCGGTGTCTCCTGTGGACAGCAAGGACTCCAATAAATCCCCCAAACGTCCGAATGATGAGACCATCAGCAATCCAAAGAAAAGGGTGAGTGTAGCTAATGTCACAGGTTCACCCAGGGTTCTGTTGGTTTTCTGTAATTGTTTTAACAAATGCATATTTTAACATTCCTGCTCATTCTGACTCACAGTTCTGGTTCACTTCCACTTTCAATTCCCACACACGTTCTTTGAAAACGAAAGTCAAACAATTCTAAGCTAATTATCATATACTGACATTACTGAAGTAGCTTTTAGAAGAAACAAACATCAACAAAATGAGTTTGATTGTATTGTTTTATATTATAATATTATGTCCTAACTGGGGGCACACTAAGTGATGCAGTGTGATGGGTTTTTTTTTGTGTTTGTTTTGAGCTGAACTTTTCTTATTCCTGTTGCTCACAGTGGAAGCACTGCATATGGATGAGGAACAGTTGATTCATGAAGCTAAAATAAGTAGTATAAGTACTATATGATACTATATGATACCTCCTCATTTAAGTACAAAAAGCTAAATGAGGAGGCAGCCGGCTGGAGGGAGATCACCAGGGACCTGGGAGTTTCTTGTTAAAGAACACACCATAGCTAATAACTAAATAAAAAACAAATTAAGTAAGTACTCACCCATCTTTTACTTGAGTGTTGATGATGATGGTTTGTTTAAGGGGCAGCTGAATTTTAGATTGAAAGATTCTGTGTGGACAGAAAGCGTCCGATATAATTCAATGCAATAGTCAGACGTCTGCATGCAGTCAGGACAAGCTATTAGTAGTAAAGTGGTTTGTAACACTGTTCCTCTTCTTTATGGTCATCATAGAAAAAAAAGAGGAAGAAGAACAAAAAGAAGAAAGATGGCACCTTGTCTTTAGAACAAGATCCAAGCCAGTCTGACCTGTCCCATGTCTCCCTGAGAGACAACCAGGGGCAGACGACGAAGGGCGAAAGAGAGTCCTCTGACAGTGAAAGCTCAGATAATGCAATGGATGAAACACCAGAATCACTCCAAGATGGGCTTTCCCAAGAGAGCCAGCCTAGTTCCTTAGCAGCTAACACTCCTGCTGCACCATCTGAACAACTCATCCAAGGTGAAACGACTGCTGCCCCAATGGAGACCACAAGCTCTGAGGAAGCTCCGGGTAACCCTGATGAGGGAGAGAGCAGTGCACCGAAATCAACTGAGGATCAAAGACTCAAGACAGCACCGACTGACACTAAAAATAAACAGCCCACATCAGAGGACAGCAAGAGTACGACTCCTCAGTCAGATTCAGGCAAAGGGACAAACGACACTAACTCTAAAGAGCAAAAGACAGACAAGAAAAACTCAAAGAACAAGAAAGACACGGTCTCCACAAAACAACCTCCACTGGATCAGAATGCCAACGTGGAGCTGAATGTGAAACAGACAGGACAAACCAAACCGAAGGGAAAGAATCAGCAGGACCAGAAACAGAAGCAGGCTCCTGCAGCTGAAAAAAAGATGGTTTTTGGCCCTCAGGAACCAACAAAGGTAATGCTGGCTAAAATGTTATTAGAACAATCGTTATTTACAAATAAGCTGTCATTTTATTTGTTTATTGAAGAAAGAGTTTAAGTTGTATATTTAACAGACAGTTTTAATGCTGCTTGTACAGGCTCACAGCACAGGCTCCAGTGTTGACCCACAGGGGAAGGTTGAGGACATGGTGGTTCAGCAGTCTGGTAGCGGGCAGGACTCGACCGCTGCAAAAACAGACACTGACAAGGGAGGTAAAGTTGACAGAAAGGATAACAACGAAGCCAGCACCCCAGCTGTACCGCCACCCAAAAGGTGATCAAGTTCTCTCAGATCCTTGTACACATTTGATTTAGTTATTTTGTCTCAGTGCATTACATTTGCTATATCTGTATTTATTTGTTTTTGCTTTTTAGTCTGACCAGGAACAATACCATTGCTGCACGCGAGAGACTCACAATTTACTTCCATGCAGTTCTCTCAAAGGATTTCAAATTCGATCCAAATGAAGATCGTATCTTCATCAGGGCAGGGTCCCGCATTGGGAAATGGGAGGAAGATACGGTTGAGCTGTCTGTGACCAGGTACTTGACTTAATGGTTAATGAAGTTTAAATGGTGGCCTGATACATGGGTATACCAAACAACAATAACTGCAAAAAATAATCCTGCAGAATCCACATATCTTTTACTTGATTACTAAAAAATAATCTAATAACTAAAAAGAGTAAACATAGAATACATTTACTATTACGTTGCAATGACATTGTCACAAAACTTTGCCTTTTAAGCAAATTGCTATAAAATCAAGCTAAGTTTTCTTTCAGTACACAATCCCCACTGCCAGGTACAGCCAGCCATAGTGGTGATGGGTCGGAATTCAGCCCTACTGTTTAATTCCCTGCCCCAGAAAATAAAAGAGTGCTCACTGACATAACACCGCGTACATTTGAATTTATTTTTCTTTCCATGCAGGGATCTTGGAGAACATGGTTTTCTGGTGGAGGGCAGTTTGCAAACAATCAAAAGGGAAGCTGAGTCTGTGTCGATACCGTACAAATATGTTGTCTACAACAATAAAAAGGGAAAATATGAATATGAGTTCATATACAAACTGGATTCTACACAACCAACCAACAGATGTTTGTTTGTGAAACCCCACCTCCTTAATCAAGAAGGTGAATGCATTCTTACCTGAGGCTATTTGTAATTACAGCTGCCTGCTTGGTATCAGCATTTGAACACTATATTTTGATTATTATTCTGAAATTTCTGTCATTTTTTTTTTCTTAAAGGGGACTGGCATCAATATGATGACATCATCTGTGCAGAGCCATCAAAGAACATGCTCAAACGCTTTAAAGAAAAGTTCTGGCCTGAACAAAAGAATAATCTGATTCAAGGCAGAGAGATTGCAGGGAATATAATGCTGGAGACCATCTTTGATCTTCTCAGGAGCTGGACTGATGTCAATTTGAGAAGTTTTCTGATCCAGTTGAATCAGTTCTTTCAGGTTTATGGAGAACCTTTTGTGTATGAAGAACAAGAAAAGAAATGGAACTCCTTAGACTACGGAAAAGATAATGTAAGTTTTTAAATTCATAATATTCATACATTAGCATACACCATCTAGAAACACCCCGATTATGTAATCTCAAATCACCTTTGTTTACTAGGTGAGGAGGATGCTCAAGGAATTCATGCTGACAAACGTGATTCCTCAGTTGGTGAAGGACGGAGAAGGGAAGATGCTTTACATTCAAGATCCCATGAGGGCAGCTGTGATCATGTTGTGTGTGTCAAAACATTATAGCATCAGACTGAATGATGCTGAACTTAATCGGCTCTGCACTGCATTGTGCCTGCCCAAACTAAACAAAGAGGATTTCCTTCAATATTGGGCAGATTTTTCACAGAATGTCTCAATTCTCAAAAAGTAGGTACCTAATCTTTTCAATAATCGAGTACAGTTATGATCTACTGACTAAGAGTAATAATTTAGTAATTTCTGCTCAGATGCTCATAAAATTATCTTTGTTGTAGTCTGCAAGAAAACTTGGTGTCTGTGATAAATGCTGTGAAAACAGCGGGAATGCCCCGATGGATTCTGGTACTACCGCTCCTCCACCTCCTCAAAGGCACCACAAAGCCCTTTGAAGTACCAACTTGTGTAAACTCGAAGTATGACTTATCCTGGGCAGGTTTGCAAGGCCTTGAAAGGAGTTCCTTAACATACATGAACAGTCAAGATAAAAAGTAAGATTCTCCTTTACCTTTGATAAAGTACATGAAATACTTGTACAAACATCTTCCAATGTATTTATTTAGAAATAGATGGATAGTGTTGTACATGTGTTTACCTGCTCTTCTGTTTTCAGGGCACTGCTCAATGTGATAAAAAACTACAGTCACCTGATGGAAGTGGATGCACTTTTAGTGCGATCCTGCTTGTACTTAGTGTCACTTGATGAACTGATGGAGTGTGTCATCAACACTAACACTGAGCTTTTGGACATTCTTCATGTTTTCACCTTCAAGGCTCCTCTGGATATTTCTTACAGTAACTTTGAGGTGAATTGGAAACATTAGTTGAGAATATTATATGTTGGGGTTGTAGTACGTTTCGTTGAATTAATTATCTTTTTTAATTTCTTTTGTACAGACTGTGTCTAACATTCTCTCACATATCCAAGGACATCTCATAGAAGGAAAATACAGGTGATTTGCTCTTCAAAATTTAGCAGAATTTCAAATGAATCTTAAAAGTACGAGACAGATAAGCTCTATTTGTTGGTAAATTGTTATTGTATTGAGTATTTTGCTGTGCAAGCCATGAAATCAAACTTCCACATTGTGGTTAACATAATTATTAAATTTTATCCTTAATCGTCTATTCTGGTTTTTGTTTTTTATAGTACATTTACTGGGGCTTATAGGAGAGGGTGCCTATCAACAGCAGTGAAACTGTTGGAGAAGCTCTGCAAAGGAGTCAAACCTGTGACATATAGCCAGAGCTACACTGATATTCCTGTGGCTTGTATGAATCTGGTTGCATCAGTGTCAAACTTTGTCCACTGTAACAAGCAACAGGTATGTGAAGTGAATCTTTATAAAGCAAGCTGTTAGCATTTCAGACGTAATCATGTCTTACTAATCTCATACTGTTCTACTAATTCTCTTTTAGGAGACTCAACAAGGGGAAACAGAGCAGGGATATGAAAAAGACTTGATCTCTCAGGCGTTAAGCATTACCAGAGAATGGATCAGTCGGTTCTTCAGACAGGGTTTGCTCACCAAGGGTTGGTCATCTGTGTTACGAGATGAGACCAAAGCAGAGATCGAAGTGAGCAGTTTTGTTATACTTTGTAAATAATACACAGAATAGACATGTAGATGTTCACAACCCATTATTAGTAGAGAAATCTGGAAAATGGTTCTTTTGTTGGTGTGTTTTACAGGTGTGGAACAACATAATCTCCATCCAATTCATAGATGAAGAGTGCACAAAAGAATGGAGACAGACATTCACAATGGATTTTGAGGGCAAGTACAAACAGGTATGTGGCACGTGTTTTTTTTAGATCCATGTTTATTAGATTTTTGGCTAAGCCATAAAAAATTAAATATACGTCATGTGTGTGTCTATCTTTAGGAATCTGCTCTGGATCAAATTGAATTCTACTGCACAAAGATAGAGGATCTCCGTGAATCCCATCCACCTGTTGCTGCTAGTATTGAGAAGTGTGCTCTTGAGGCTGTTACATCTTTGTGTCAGGTATGAAAACTTCTCATTTTAAAATCCATATGCATATCCAATGGCATAGCTTGTTACAGTCATATTTAAGAAAAATAAAAACTTTATTCTGTAGACAAAAATGAGTAAATTACCATGTTTATGGTTGTTTATATCTTGTATGCAGAGCAAGTCTGAGGGAAAACTCTTTGAGAGGTTCAAGATAAACTGGAAGTTTGGGAAACTCATCTCAGCCATTATCCAGAAATCGTGGCCAAAGGACCATCAAGGAAATTACCAGGAAGATAAAGAAGTCGTCCTTCAGCATCTCCTCTCCTGGACTGCTGCCAAAAACATTTTCCAACTACACGGTATATCCTCATGAAAAACTAAACCATTAAAACATGCACACACCAGAGACAAATAGACACATTCGATAAGGAAGGGAGGTGGAATATAATGATAAAATCTTTGATCTTGATCTTTCACTTATAAAAGCAAAGCACCTTCCATTAGTAGGAAACCTGGCCTCAGTTTATGACTTCATGACAGAAATTAAGCATTGTAATAATTGATGTGGTTTTTGATGTGTAATTTCTGTCATTGAAGGGGCAGAAGAAAAGCTGATTGAGAAGCTCTCTGAAGGAGCCAGGGACAGAATGGCTATAGCCATATCAGCATTCACAGCCATCAACAATCAACTGGTCAATGGAAGCATTAAAACAAGCCTACTCAATGTCATTTTGGAGAGGAGAGACGCTTTCTTAGACCTGCTGAAGATCGGTAATAACAGTATGCTTGTCATTAAAGAACTCCCAAGTTTATTAATAAATAACCCCCAGAAAGTGTTTATTTCATATGATGGTGTGCACTGACCTAAAATATATATTAAGATGTGTGTGTGTGTGTGTGTGATTTAACAGATTGCCTGTCTGAGAATGAACAGTACAGGGATAATGCCAAAATGAGGAGGCTGTTACAATGCAGACAAAACGAAGTGGAAGCTGTGTACCATGAGAAGGAGCTTGTGGCCGTCTTCTTAACAATGAGCCACAAACTTCAGGAACATATGACAGGTATAGCCGTGGTGGTTATGTGTTTGGTTTGATCATGCAGTAGCTGCAAATTTAACATACATTAATTTCATTTCCATGATAGTTGATGTTGCCGACATGGAAGAAAGGCAGCAGATCAACATTGAGGTCAGCTCCTTGAATCATTTCATGGAGGTTCATCAGTTTGACCAAATGTCCTCTCCTATGGCTGGCGTTGTTACCTACTTCAATCTGGACGAAGAAATCAGAGACATGGCTGAGGTCCTGTACACCTTCAGAGACAGTTACATATTCAAAGTGTGCTGGGAGAAACAAGCCAAACGGCTGGCCACTGAAGAAATGGAAGATGATGATCCTGATCAACATGAAGTAGTAGACATTATGGCAACACCAGAAATGATACATGATAACATTTTCAAGCCTTGCTTTGCTGATTACAAAGATATCTACACATGTCTGAAGAATGGCAGTATAATGCTTGAGGAGGTAAACCAGCTCTTCAGCGCCTACAAGGGCAAGTACGAAGAGCTAGCGCAGGACCTGGACATCATGTGCAGAGTTGATAAATCGACTGACAAACAGTGGATCCACACAAGGGTTCACCAGATCGAGCAGTACCATGAACTTCATCTAGCTGTGGTTTCAGCTCAAATTATCATGACGGTCAAAGAGACGCTTCGACTTCAAGGGGACTTCAGGGTTCTGGAGACACTCACAACAGTTGTAAGAGGAAATGTTTTGTTGCATTCAAAAATATTACACATTATGAGAAAATTCAGGCTAAAACCCCATTTCTGCATATACTGTTATTAAAGATGTGTACAGAGAATGCAACATTAAAACATGATATAAGTGTCTCCTGGTCTCCTCAGAGGTATTTGAGCAAAGTTAGTTTTAACTTTTGGCTCTCTCCTCCTTTCAGAATAATGCAGACTTTCAGAGAGAGCAGCTGAATCGGATTGATAATGACTTGATGCAGGCAAAGAAGGCTCTGGTGGACATCACTGAGCCCCGCAGACTGTGTCTGCAGGAGCTGGGCCTCAGAGGAAACTTTGTAAAGTGGGTAAAAGATGCACTTGAAGGTAAGTTATTATTATTTTGTAATGTATGTATTGTATGTATGTATGTGTGTATATCTTAATATTCAATCAGAAAAAGTTCCTAAATATTAAAGTATGTTCATTATTTCGATATTCCCCCCCCCCCCCCCCCCCCCCCTGTATCAAATGAGCTGAGGTGTTTGTTGACCTGGTTCTAATCTTGCGGCAGAAGAACGACATGATGTTTGTCGTTGTTCCATGATGGTGTTCGGGTACTTTATTCTTTATGAGCTCAAAACAGACTCAGATTTCATGGCTTCAAAGAATGCTCAGAGAGCTCTGGGAGCTTTGGAGAATGACGCACTAAAAAGAACTGGTAAAGAGGAGGGACTTGCTAAAACATAATAAACAACTAAAAAATCGTCATTTGATGAAGATTGCAATTCCTCTTTTGTCTGATCTTTCCAACAATCGAGAGTGTTAATGTGACTATTTATTGATTGCACTGTAACTTCACAGGCAGTTGGTGAATGTTATACGACTTAATAATTTAGGCAGGTACTTCTCAGTGAACATTGGGTGTACTGTAGAATCAGCAGACACGGGTTAAGAAGTGTATCTTCTTTGGTAGCAGGACAGTCACGCGCAGTTTGAGCGATGGCTGAAGACTGTGAGGAGACAGTCGTGTCAGAGGTGGGAGCTGGTCATCTCTCTCTCTTTAGCATCGCCAGTCAAACACAAGAGGGTATCTGACTGATCAGTGCACACAATGTAAGGAAAGAGGCAAAGTAAAAAAATGTCAGAAGAGCTAAGCGGCTTTCCTAGTGTGTCATTATCACAGAGAGTCCGCAGAAGAGGCAAAGTGGTCTACGAAACGCGATGTATAAGAAGTGGTACTTGTGTGTTTTAAGTTCATGCTGAGTCTTGACACCGGTCGGGAACGCGTGCAGGCCTTCAGGGGGAGATACATGATGAAGGGGCTCGGGAGAGTCGCTGTGATTCTCTTGAGGAGCCTGGGAGTGCCGGAAAAACGTAGGTGCTTGTTCTGGGAAAGGGATCGGGAGGCCAGACATGAAGGTTGTCACTGTGCAGAGGGGAGACATATATTGAAAATTTCCGGCTTTAAGTTACATGAGCAGAGGGTGAGTTTGGTAGTTCACGTTGCCGTAGGTATTTTTATAATCATATCATACATTTTTGTTCAGTGATTTTATTGTGAAGTGCATACCGATGTTTGTGATAAAGATTAACAATGTTACATAAAATACAATGAATTAATAATAAAGTATAGAAAAGAGTAGTTTTTGCACGTATAAATTGGAACTAAGATAGGGATGGGATCGGCGTATTGGTTTAGTTGATGATGTTGAAATTTGAGTAGGTACTTACCGATCCAAGGTCTTTTCAATGAGCCAGCTGATACAGGAGCAGTTAGCATATAACTGGCTAGTCATATCATGGATGCAGTATCAAACCCTAGATGAGATTTGTTGCGGTTCGAGACAATTTTGAAAATAATCATGCGCCTTATGGAGGCGGTATTGTCCCATTCATAGCTAGAGGTTAGCAATGTTATTAAATAATAGAGTGTGTTAGAGGTACTATTGAAAACAATCTTAAAAAAAGATAAACATTGCAAATTGGTGCACTCTAGGTTTTATTATTTTCAGGTTTTGCGAGTTGTTCAGGAATAGGGTGCGGCATTCAATTGACCTCTACAATGCTTGGGGAGTGCCCTCGGTAAGCGGTAGAGAAGCTGCAATCAACTGCTGCTTATCAAAGCTGAGGAAAAACCCATTACTGAATGGATTCCTGGGCAGTGTTACAGTTGTCATTGTGGAAGGAGATTAAGAAAGAACAGTTCCTGAAATTTTGCAAGGACAAATGGGAATGCCGGCTTTGGAACTGTAATTTTGTGCACACCAAAGAGACTCTCACTAAACTATCTGCAAACTTAACACGCTGCAACAAATTGTCTCACCTAAATGCGCCAAAGCTGACTCGCATGTCCAATGTGGCAGAGAACAGTCTCACATGACTGCTATCTATCAAGCAAATTGACAGCTTCAGAACTTGCGCGTCCGCCGACATCCAGTAATGACAATCCTCAACCAAACAACCAGCGACCAACACATGAGGATATTGACTTCCATGAATTTTTGTTGCGTGCAAAGACGGGTGCGCCACGGGAACCTCGTCACAAAGTGCCTTGGCTTTTGCACAGTCTTGTGAATCAAGCAACTGGCTCTTTTGAAATTGACTCTGGATGCTATTAATGCTACAAAGCAGATTTTCTCGCCAATTTGAATAACTACCAATCTTGGCAAGATGTGGACTCCTGCCAAAACACAACGAGAGGAAAGAGTGCAGAGATGCAAAGTGACAAGCACACATTGATCTGATCGAGTAACCCGGGGGGCGACTTAACCGGCTGCAGTTGCCTAACGGCGCTGAGTCCCGAAAATCGACGCAGACTCCATGTGGTTGCGCAGCACGATGAATGTCTTGAGTGTGTTGGCATCTCGATTTTCCAGCGTAAGGCGCCGAGCCAGATACATTCCAACCTAAAATGACATGCGGTCCTGTGCACCTCCTACAAACATCCAATCGCGGTGAGTATCCTAGAACGCGTGTCTCCCAGCACCAGGCTACCGGCAGATATCCTCTACTAATGTATGGCAAGCTTGCTCATTCTGAAAATGTTAGTTAAATTGGACTCTTTTTTGCAGCGCAGGAATGCCAAAAATGCAGCGAGCAACGAACGAGCCTACACGAAATATGTTGTCATCTGCCGCTGCAAGGCGATGGCTGCCTTCCTTCGCCTTCAAAGCCGCCGATACAGACTTCCCTATTCCTCTGGTTATCATCTGGCGAGAAATACGCGGTGAGGTCTGCTCCAACAACAACAACTTTGGTTGATCCCGAGTCGAAATGCAAGTGCATGCGCTTATTCGCGACAAGATGCGAACTGGTGTGTTTGGTGTTGTCGTCAATCCAACAACAGACGCGGCGCGTGTTGGAGTGTTATTTCTTTCCAGTAAACTCATGCTATTACCAAGATTTAATACTTCCCTGAATGTGGATTTCAACTCCTACAGCATGTTTAATAACTCTGCCATAAATGTTTTTTTGTTTTTTTTTTTTTGAATCGCAAGGTAACTCTGTTAAAACTCAGTGCTCTATGAACACAGGGCGTGCAGATTTCACCATTCGAATCAATGAATGGACAAGTGACATTCGCTTGCTTGGAAAGCCTATGTTGCAAATGGAAATGTCTCCTTCAGAGTCTGCTGTTGAAGCGGATTCCCACACAAAGGAAGACAAACGACCGTCAATGAATGTTTCACATTTGGATTCACGCGATATTCGAGCGTAATCATGAGCAAAGCTTAATGCTTAAGTTAGTGCAATCAGATTGACGTGTAATAGACTGTCCTCAAACGGGATTAAGAAACTCTGGTGGTTACATGGAGCGCTGTTGTTATTTGAAATTTGATTCACGTGGGACAGAAGAGGTCTCCCCAGAAGTTCTTTCAAATTGCTAATTCGGGTATGGTTGTGGACTTGAGAAGAATGGGAGTGGTGAACCAGCGCTGTAATCGTAATAGAGTTTTGGAGCGGGGCCACCAACAAGAATGCTATCAACCGCAAGTAAAGGTTTTTAGTCACTTAATCACCTTGTCATCCGGAAATTTTACCAAGCTGGTTACCATAATCGTGTTTTTCAATCCTTTGTCCGTGGCCCATAGATCAGAAAACTGGAACCCACTACAAATGACCGCAGAATTGTTTCATAAATGTTCCGTCTGGAACAAAGAAGTGTAAATCGTAGAGATAAAGAAGCCCCCAGGGTCCAGACATGTGAAGCCCCGGATGACCATTATGGAATGAATGAAGAATCCAGAAAAGAGCCCGTTTCCAAGCGGGCAATACCAGTGCTCAGAAACGTTTTATAACAACGTGATGTGATGTTTCACCGAATAAAAGGGTGTGAAAAGGGTCGCACGTGATGTTTCAAGATTCTCAAATGTAAATTGTGAATTGTGGAATCCTGGGAGAACTGAGTAATTTGCAATGGTTCATGTCTTCCGGAAGAACTGTGAGAAGCATACCTTTTTTGTGATGTCTTTACTGGACGTGAACTGGTTTCCCCAATTTGTGGGGAATCATCTTGCTCTGATGGATTTCAATCATCACTCAAGCTCTTGAGGAGGTGGAAAGATTGCAGAAAATACTGACTGGTTCCTAATGAAATTGTCCTTTTCTGATAGAAAGAAGATCGGCACCCGAAAAATCCATAATTTCTTATAATGAACCATGTGTCGTAAAATGGTCAGCTTGGCGTTTCAGTCTTCAGGATGGCAAACTCTGTTGAGGAAAATTGCGGCCGCACTGGGCCGAGGGATAAAGGGAGGCATTGAATGAGAGGTGTGAATGAGCGCCTGAACGCTCAAGAGTCTTTAGCCAATCACTATTGAATAACTCAAGAGGGGGAGAATAAGACGGAAATGCCAGTTCTGGATAGTGGCGTGACTGTGAATTAAAATGGCTTAAACATGCAGACATACTGAAGATGCTCAATCACGATCTCCGGTCCAGTGGTCTTCATTAATGAAGGGGAGACGGGTTGGTAAAGAGGAGATATAATTTTTGTGCGTCGGAGGAAGTGGCAGTGCTGGAAATGAATTTGGGAATGGCAGGAAATCGGAAAAACGTTTTAGACAGTGCAGAGAAATCCGAACCAACTAAGGGTCCTATTATTAAAGTCATTCATCAAAACACGCAGCACTCGTAGATATTTGAATCGTATTCATTCTTCTCAGAAATAGAATATCATATCAAGAACAATAATCACACAGAAAAGGACAAACTCTTGCTTCTTCTCTATCTTCATTGC